AAGTTCATGCTTTGAAGTATTAATTAGGTACATACTAAAGAACTGCAAAAACTAGAAAAACTTACATTTCCATAAACTTAACTATGCTCTGAGCTCATTAGATGAAGCAAAATGTACGTATTTAGTAAACCAATCTCCAACTACTAAAATATAACTATGAGCTGCTTTCCAATTGACAAAAAATGTACTTCGGAAGTGCATCAGGAACACTTCAGATTAGCTTTTTGCTTACCAACAAACTGAAACATTTTACTCTTAACATGTTCCTATTTGTTTTCCCCTGACTTTCCCCCCATTACGTGTTTTCTCAGAGGTATTCCAATTGTTTAAGTTTGGAGTATTTAAAGAGTAGAACAGTAGAAGAACACTTCAGGGGCAGTTGCCTGGAAATTGGCAAGCAGCTATTGCCTCTGAGGAAGCGTTAAAATGGACACATAATATCAACGGCTATTGTTTCAAAAGGATATTTTACATTTATTTGGAACTCCTTAAACTAAACCTTTTCTATTCATTAATCCGAGATTGACAAATTTGTAATATACCTTGACTATAAATAGGGTTTCTGGTCGAGACTTCTCGAAGCGAGAATTCCCGGGAAATCTGGGCTTACTCGAGACGAGAAAAAAGTGTCGAGAAATCGAGAAATCGAGAAATTTAAAAATCACGCGCGTCTTAAGTTCTTGACTGGAGTTCATTTCGTTCATGCGTTCAATTCGTTCTCGACAAATAACTGAGCGGTTAAAGTGGTTTCTCTACCAGCTCATGATTTATTTATTTTAAGTTTTTAAGGCTTTAGTTTACTTTGATGACTCTTTTTTTTAATGTACAGGGTGATTCACTATATTTTGACCCCCCCTTTAACTTTTTTGTTTTAAGAGTTATAAAAAAATGTGAAATACAAAAGTTGCACGATTTTTTATGAAGTTTTCCAAAATGATAGTAGAAAAACAAATTAAGTTCAAACAAAATGGCCGCGGATGTTAACTTTGTTAATTTAAATGGAACACCCTGTATATTTTTACATATTTGGATAGAACGTTCCTTGTCGAGCATAGTCATATAGGGTTTGTTGGGTCCATCTCTAATAATAGGCGAGATAATATTAAAAAACGAAATGATGTTTTTTTATTAAGAAAATAAGACATCTTGTAATTGTTAGACC